TCCATATGAGATAAAATAGCTTGATGAAAAGCAGCAATTATTGTTTTTAAATCTTTTAAATCAAAAGGCAAAATTAGGAGCAAATTACATCCCTCCCTTTATTTCTTTCACTCCTTCCTCCCCCCCCCCCTTTAAAACAACCCTTTAACTCCAGTAGTGGGGAAATTTTCATTCCAATAACCTAAAATGAAATGATGCAAGGCAGGTATGACTGTAACAAGCAATTTAATTTTCTACTTCGTTTCAAGGGTGACGGTTTTGAGAGAAGGGTATGATTTCAGATGAAACTATTCAGGATCATTTGTGCATTGTGTACAATCTTGTATTTAGGTATGATTTGGAGCCTATTCATAGATTCACTGACCTTATGACACCAGTACAAGCACCAAAAATCTGAGCAAATTGACTTCCAGCCCACAGCATCCATTTGCACATGTGAGAGTGCATATTTGCTATGCCACTATAGTAGTCCTTGTACTGCCCTGACCTCGATAGCTCAGGCTAGCCCAATATTGTCATATCTCAGAAGCTAAACAGGGTTTAGTACTTGGCTAGTACTTGGAAGGGCAACCTCCAAGGAATACCAAGGTTGGGGTGCAGAGGCAGGCAACGGCAAACCACCTCTGAAACTAGTGTAGTTTGCCACCTAGTGGTGCATAATGCTAAAAGAGCTAGAACTTCTGGCTATCAGACAGTCTTGGGATCTCCTGGCTATACTACACACAATGCCATACGATAATTAGTAATAGTTCTTGTGGTGGTGTGGGCTCATTTTGCCCTGAGAGCGGCATTGCCATAGCCTACATTCAGTTCACTGCTGCAGCTGCACACAACCCATCAGTTACGAGTTTAGATTACAGCTCGCAGCGGCTTTTTTAAAGGAACAACACTGATGTAGATGGTTTTCTGAAGTGATCTTTACTCTGAGCAGGAACTAAGGAATAATGTATTATTAGTAGTCACTGCAGCGACTTACAAATCAAATTCAGATATGAATATGGATGCCAAAGAAAAACACATTTTTGGAGAAAACTGATTTACTATTGGCAGGACTAACGCAAGCTTTTTAGCCACCTGAGATTAAAAGGATAGCTAATGCTGCCACCATCTATTGGGGTGGGTGAATGAAGGGGCCATACATGACCCCTCTCAATTCCTAAGGCAGACCTAAGAACCGAGAAAGCTGCTCTGTTTCTACCATTCCCAGCAGTTCTGCCTAAAATGAGATTATAGGGCAGGGTTCCCCCAATGTGGTATAACACCCACCAACTTTTATAGAAAATGGGTGGGGCCATTGTAAGTTAGGGCTTGTTATCAGCTGCCCTCACTCAATGAGTTTCCCATGGCTGCAGTAGTAGCTGCAGCCACTGGAGGATCAGAGTGACTGGTAAGTAAGGACCTGGGCCTTCCTTAGTCAATGTGTGTTTCCATCCCCTCTTTGTTGTTTTTTGTTGTTGTTAATTCTTCCTTCTTTTTCCTCCCTCCAGCTTTCGTTCCTTTCTTTGTATTCCCCCTTTGCCCTCCATATCTCTGGCTTTCCTTCATTTCTTTTTACTCCTTTATGTGATTCTTTTAAAAAATTAGGAGAGAAGTATTGTGTTTGGCTACATCTCCTCTGGGCATTCCAAAGGTGCCCACATACTGTGAATGGAGGGGGTCTGTGTTATGTACGTGGACCGCCACCAGGGGTCCGTGACTACAGTCAAGAGCTT